GTTTATGTTATGCATGCTGTGTTGGGGGTTGACTAGGTTGGGCTAATGTGAGTGATGCAATTTCTTTTTCTAAATCTTTGATTCTTTCTTAAAAAATGTTGTTTTGATATGTCAATTCATGAACTTCTATTTTTAACAAATTCTCACTATGATATACTTCTAATGCAAGTTTGTCTAATCTATGAAAAGCCTCTTCTAGTTCAACATGAGTGGTTTTCAAGGTTTCATGTGTTTCAGTTAGTTCAATATGCTTCTTATTTAATGCATCATACTCATCAAGAAGTAGCATATGATCACGATCTAAATCAGAATTTTCCTAAAACAACTTAGCATGCTCGGTTTATAAGGAACTAAATTCAATATTAAGCTTGGCATGCATCTTTTTCAACTTCCTATACGAGTCAAGGATATTCTCTGAAATAAGTAACAATTCTTCATATGAAAGATGACATACCTCATCTTGATCCAGTTGATCAAGGTTATCATTAGCCATAAGACACAAATTTGTTACCTCCTCCTCTGCTTCTTCTTCTGGCCATTCTCAGGCAGAGTCGGCCCAAAAAGCTTTTGTGTCTTCGTCTTTCCTTTCTTGTATTTGGCTTTGTCATCACCTTTCTCCTTAGCTGCTTGGCTCTTTAGATTGGGGCAATCGGCTCGAAGGTGACCTAGCTTCATGCACTCAAAACAGATTGTATTAGATGAAGCATTATTAGACTTCGAGCTTTTACCTTTATTCCAGTTGTTCTGATGACGCTTCTATTTTCTCTTCAGGAAGTTCTTGAACTGTCAGGTCATCAGTGCTATCTCATACTCTTCCTCCCCTGCAAAGCTTTCACTTTTTGAGTTGTTTGCATTTAACGCTACCGTTCGCTCCTTTTTCTTTTCACCTGCATCACTTTGTCTCTGACTCACTCCTTGCTCGTATGCAATGAGTGACCCAAGGAGATTATCAATAGAATAAACGTTAAGGTCTTTAGATTCAGTGATAGTAGTTATCTTTGCATCATAGGAACTAGGTAAGCATCTAATAATTTTTTTAACTTTCTTAGAATTTGAAATCTCTCTACCTAATGCGTGCAAGGATGTCACGATTTGGGTGAACCTAGTGTATATGTCAGATATTATTTTGCTAGGTTTCATACGAAAGAGTTCATAATCATGAAATAAAATTTTAAGCCTAGACTGTTTTACTTCACTTGTTCCTTCGTATGCATTGCACAGTCTATCCCAAATCTCCTTACCAGTGGCACAGGTAGAAACTCTTATATAATCTTCAGACTTTAATACATAGAAAGAGCAATTTAAACACTTAGCATTCAATTGGGCTAATTCCCTATCCTCATTACACCATTCATTAAAAGGCACTGTAGTTTTCAATCCATTGACAGTTTTAAAAGGTGTAACATATCCATCATTCACTAACATCCACATGCGGTAATCAATAGATTGTAAAAAAGTAGACATTCTAATTTTTCAGAAATAAAATGGAATGTTATCAAAAAGTGGTAGACGGGTTATTGAATAGCCCTCTGCAGTGTTACGATTACCAAAATGCGACAAGATCATTTTTTTAAGGTTTTCTAAAACACTATTTTTGAAAACAGGCTCTGATATCAATTGAAATTACTAGATGGACGAGAGGGGGGGTGAATTGTGAAAGTTTCATTGCAATAAATAAAACCTAAACAAGAGTTCTAATATTTTTTATGGTTTTAACATGAAAATAAAGTGCAATAATGGAATCATGTTCAATCACAATATTTCACCAAGCAAATATACTGAAAATGAAAAATACACGCAAGAATAAAAATAATAAGGAAAAAGCACATCGGATTTTTATAGTGGTTCAGTCAAACCATGACCTACGTCCACTCCGCGGAGTCCTCCAATCCAGGAATTTCACTACAAGCAATAGCTTTCCTTTTGCCCCCCTTGGTAAGGTGGAGAAGCCCTTACAATACTCCCTTTCACCAATCTAGCGTGGCGAAGTGCCAAACTCTGTTTTCACCCTCCTGGCGATGGTAGAGAATCTTCTCGTTTTTCTCCCTCCTGGAGAAGGCAGAGTACCTCGAGGTCACGGATGTAGAAGAGCCTTCCCCTTGGAGATCCTCTCACAAATTCTTCTAGGACCACTGGAGGAGCAAGTTGCAGCAAGTTCAGAGAAATCATGTGATCTCCCTTACAACGCTTACCTTCTCTTTCCTCTCTCAAATCCTATAGAACTTCTCAAGATCTCTCTCCCTTGGAATCCCTCTCTAACCACATTCTCCTCTCTAATTCACGCACTAAAACATAACGATTTTGACACCTTAAAATGGGCTCCAAAATCCCTTAAATTTCAAAGTAGCCGTTACTATCGTTCAGTACTGTTTCTAATCATACCGTACAATATGTATACCAAGCTTCATCCTGGTAAAAAGATGTACGATTAGTTCAAAATACATCATACAGTCCGATAATGAATCGTACGGTACAATAATTAACATTATTGATCGTACAGGATGATATCCAGGATAATCAAATGTCATATGTGTTCATCATATTGTACGATATTGATTGTATAGTATAAATGGTCAAAATTCAAAGCATCGTCCAAGATGAATTTCGGGACGATCAAGATTCGTCTCTATTCATCATATAGTATGATCTACATTGTACTGTACAATGAGGAAAAACCAATGGATTGTCCAGAACGATCTCCGGGACGATCAGAATTCATCTCTATTCATCGTATTGTACGAACTGGGTCGTACAGTACGATATTCAATTTTAAATTGAGCCTTGAATTATTCCACTAATCACAGGTTAATTTAAGTAAGTATTAAAAATAAATCATACAGTACTAATTATTTTGTACAATACGAACGGCAGAGAAAATACATAAGTTAATTTGATGGCTAGGGTTTTGGATTTGAACATATCGTATAATACGATTGTGATTCGTACAGTACGATTGTGATTCGTACAGTACGATCTATTCACAGAATCATCGTATAAGCTCAGATCGTACGGTATGAAATAAATTCGTACAGTACGATCTACAGAAAAAGAAAATCTCCAAAATTTTCTTTCAAAAAATCCTCTCCCCCTATGTGTGTGCATGGTTGCTCAGATATTTATGTATTTTATGGCCAGACTCAAGAAAATAAAAATAAAATAAATAAAAATACATTGTCAGACTCATAATCCTAATCTACCCATTCTTGAGTCTTCCTTTCATCTGGAGTAGCTTGTGATCTTCTTGAAATGTTAGTACTCACGGACAATAGCAAATAAAATAATATTCAATGAATAGATAATTCAGATGACATTATTTGTGTTCATCAAAATCTCAAACTCGGGGTCATGGGTGCAATAGGGGCAAAAGGAGAGATACTGAGTTTAGTGCAATACTCGGAGGGTGCCTCTAGGGAGTAGATGTAGGTCGTGTTGATCGAACAACAATAAATCTTTATGTTCTTTATTACTGCTTCTGCATTTATTTTTTATACTTTGATTTATATGGTGAATCTTAGTTTTTATTTGATGTAGGGTTTAACATCCCTAACGAACTTTCTAGTGCCATCAGTGCACTTTTAATATCTTCTTCTAATAAATTCCTCCCTAACAGGTCTTCTTTAAAGTATTCAATAATAGTGTCTTCCAAATTAATTCAAAAATTGTCTCTATTCTTTTCATGAGGGAACTTTATAGATTGAAGAACATCAATAGTTACTTCATGATCTTTAACCCTCATAGTCAATTCTCCTTTATAAACATCAATCACAATCTTCCTAGTGCCAAAGAAAGGTCTTCCTAAAATAAGAGGTATCTCCCTATTATCTTCCATGACAAAGATAAAATCAATAGGAAAAATAAACTAATCAAACTTAATCAAGATGTCTTTTATCACCCATTTAGGATAAGTGAAAGATCTATCTACAAGATATAGGGTAATAGAGGTAAGTTGAACCTCTACAGTGCTTAATCTTCTAAAAATGGATAAGGGCATAAGATTGATGCTGGATTCTAAAACACATAATGCTCTACCATCAAATTTATCTTTGATAGTTATGGGAATGGTGAAGCTACTAGGATATTTTAGTTTTTTCTAGAAATTTCTTTTAAATTATAGCATTACATTTTTTAGATTAAGGCTATAGTTTCATATTCTCCTAACTTTTTTTTTTCTTGTTCAGTATATCCTTCTTGAATTTAGCAAAGGTGGGCATCTCCTTGAGTGATTTAGAGAAAGGTATATTCATGATTAATTTTTTAAACAGTTCTAAGAACCTAGAGAATTACTCATCTAAATTTTATTATATCAGCTTTTGAGGAAAAGATGGTGGTGGTCTTTTTATAACCATTTTATTGGTCTCTCAGCTTCTTTAATGAATTCAAGTTGTTCATAAGGGGTTCAGCCTCTAAAGGTTCTTCTACACCACTATCCTTTTGAGATTGATCTCTTTCCTTATATGGATCTCCTAAATCTCTCCCACTCCTAAGATGGATATTATTACATTGAACTTCTAATTTTCTATTATTAATAAACTTAGCAAGATGCCCTATCGTGTCTTCTATTTTTTTAAGGGTTGAAGATTAATCTTGCAATTAAATTTCCAATCAAACTAATAATCTTGATCAAAATTTGGCAGGTAATATTTCCATGCTTTGATATGTAGCATTACAATGCTCATTCATTTAAGATTAATTACAGGTTTGGTGTAATTATTATGCCTATATGGTCTAGCTTTATCTCGTATATTATCTAATTTCTTGTAAATTGTAGCTACTTGAGCAGTAAGAACTGACAAAGCATTTGATTCATAGACTCCAGCTACTCTTGTTGGACTCACCCTATCAATAGACCACTAGAAATTATTTATATACATCTCCTTTATTAGTTCATATGCTTTATCAAATGGCTTAGAAATTAAAGGTCCTCCAACATAGAATATATGATTGACTTAAGGGATCCAACCAATCTATTATAAAAAGTCTGAATGACCTTCCGATCTGGTAAGGCATGGTGAGGGCATTTCCTATGCATTTTCATAAATCTCTTTCAACTTTTATAAATTGATTCTCCCTCAAATTGGTAAAAAATATGTGATATCATTTCTAAGTTTGGTAAATTTTGAAGGTGGAAAATATATAAGTAGGAATATATAAGCCAACTCATTCCAAGTGGTTATAGAGCAAGGGGGTAAATAATTCAACAATATTTTACCCTTATCCCTTAGAGAAAATGGGAAAAATTTAAGTCTAATGGCATCATCAATGACATCATTATACTTAAATATTACATACATTTCCAGGAAACTAAGTATAAGTTGAGATGATCAACAGGATATCCCCCAAACTAGGAATTTTGGATAATATGAATTATAACAGTTTTAAGTTCAAACTTATTGTCCTGGATAGTAGTTCTATTGATACTCTGATGGATTCCTTTTTCTATAGGTTTAGTATATTCTCTTAGAGGTCTAGAATGATCCTAGTCTTACATTGGGTTAGATATTTTTAAAGAATTTTTATTTTATCAAAATTTTATTGGTCTTTTGCAAAATCATCAAATGAGCAAGGGTCAAGAAATATTAAGCCTTAAACCATATTCAAACTAGGGCCCCTAGGTTAAGCTCAAATAGATCACATAATCAACTACATTATACACTATTTAATTGAAATAAAGAGGAAGAGAATAAGTACTTACACCATTAATTGATTTCATTGATATTAATTAGTGTTAAGCTTGAAAGAAGTCAGTCCTAGGGTTGGCTAAGGTTAACCTTTTAAGAAATAACTGAAATGATATGAAATTGAATTATCAATGTATTACTCCAATTATCTTTTAAAAATATAAAAGAATCATATATGAAAGTTTGTTAGGGATGTTAAGCCCTATAGAACTGGCCCAAAGGCTAACCAAGAGGGGGGGGGTGAATTGGTATTTAAAAAATTTCTTAAAGCAAAGCACGAATGCAAACCAAATCACCATAAAAATAAGTGCGAAAGAAAATAAATGCGGAAGCATTAAAAAATAAGAACACAAGGGTTTATAGTGGTTTGGTCAACTCGACCTACGTCCACTCCCCGGAGGCGCCCTCCGAGTATTGCACTACAATCGTGACTCTCCTTTAGCCCCCACAGCTAGGCGGAGAAGCCTTTACAAACACCTATTTTTGCCACACCCGGCAAGGCAGAGAGCCTCCCTCCTTTTGCTTCCTCCTGAAGCAGTCAGAGAACCTCGATTGCTTATTGGAACTTACCTCTCCTAACCCTTCTAAGGACAAGAGACTCTAGGGAAGAAGAAGTGGAACAATGCTTGGAGCAACCCTTGTGAATCCCCTCACATGATCCTCTCTCTCTCTCCCTCTCTCTCTCCTTTAGGTTTTCTCAGGTCAAGACAGCAGCCAAGGATGTTCAAAAATGTTGAACAAGAGCTCTTAAATAGAAGAACTTCAAATGAGCTCATTAATTACAAGTTATCGACTATAAAGTCCAGGATGATATGGACATCGTCCTGGCCGATCAGTACAAATCACATGAGATCGGCCAGAGCATCGCCTTGAATGCAAACTGGATGATTGAAAATTGGCTTGATTATCCCAGAAGATCTCACGATCATCCCGGTCGATCAGTTCAAATCAGAGGAAAATCGTCCAGAGCATCGCCTTGAATTCAAGCTGTCCGATCCAGATCGTCTAAGAGTAACTAAGGTTTTTTTATTAGATCATCATGGCCGATCCTTCAATCGTCCAGGATGATGTGATCGTATCAATCATCTTTAATTATTGCCTTGATTGTCTGATCAATTAAGGCATAATTATGAATATCCTCCAGGCCGATCCAAGATCGTCCTGGTCGATTACCAAAAATACAGAATAAATTAATTATTTATGGTGGCAATTTATTTCTATTTTGAGCCCATCGTCCAGGCCGATTGGATAATGACGGCTTCCTTAATTAAGAACCCCTGATTAGATTTTTTATTTTATGCCCGATCGTCCAAGATGATGTAAATATCATCCTGGCCAATTTGAGTAAAAATAGAAATTCTAAGTCTCTCAAGTGTGTGTGTAGGGTTACTTTGCATCTGTCACATCAAAGATTACAATAGACTCAAGAAGGAAAAAATAAAATTACAGACTGACTCAACCCTGATCTACCCCATCTTGAGCTGATTCCGATTTCCATCTGATCTTTGAGTCAAGAAAAGTCAGTAGAAAAAAAATAGTCGTAGTGAAACAAGATTTGTTTGCTATCATCAAAATCATAATCTAAAAACATGTTTGTAACAATCTCCCCCTTTTTGATAATAGCAAACATATCAAAAATTAATTCTAACTAAACAAGCTTTTACCAGAACAAGTACAAACATACTTAACAAGAGCAAGTACAAATACACTAATCAAGAGCAAGTACAAACACACTACTCCCCCTTTTGACATCTCAAAAAGGAGGAGGAAACTAAAGAAATAAAAAAAATACATAAAAGGAAACAATCCACAGAAAACAGAAACTAAAACTAAATAAACGAGGGATCCTGATCATCAGATGGAGGTGGAGGTGGTGGAGCATGCTGAAAGTAGCTAGGTAGCGTAGTAAACTAAGCATTGAACCAGGCTATATCCTGGTCGTGCTGTTGCTGCTGGTGAGTAATATAGCTATCAAAACGGGCTAAGTCCTCTGTGCGGTGCTGCTCATAGCGGGCCATGTCCATAGAATGTTGCTGCTCCTGTGCAGCAATGTAAGCGTCAAAACGGGTCTCCCAACGATCAAATCTCTCCACTAACTGGTCAAATTGTGAGTGTTGTCAAAGAGGAGTAGGATCAGGAACGGGAGCGGGAGCGAGAGCCTCCTCCTCCTCAGCCCCTGGGTGGAGACGAGTACTGTGAAGGGTATTGAAGGAACTGTTTGAGTAGAAGAGAGTTGGGAGGTTGGGAGGAGCATGATATTGAAGTTGATATTTGGTTTCAAGAACATAGGCTATGAGGTTTCCTAAAGCCATATTGGGTTTTCTCTTATGACCTATATCGCGGATTGTGGTTAAATGATCAATATATCAAAAAATTAAGTCAGTAGTATTAAATTCTTTATGTTCCATGATGTAAAAAGTAGTCAGAGAAAGTAGAGGAGTGATGTGAATTTGATCCCCGGCTTTTGGAATAATGGAGATGTGAAGGACATGCTGAATTATCCTAGCATCTTTGACTAAAGAGCTAGTCTCACCAACATGAAAGGGTGTGTTGGTCTGGCAAAGAAAATGGTTTGTCATGAACCAATCAAAGTCAGGATCTGAGACGATTATATGCAGCTTATCCCCGGTGGTGGTAGCTGCAATAGGTCAGCACAGTCCTGATATGAGATATCGATCGGGCGTCGATTCATATAGGAGGTCAGGGCTGTGAAAGTAGGATTTATGCAAAGATTTGTGAAGAATTCACGAAGAAGCTTAGAATGAAAAGGGACAGCGAGAGAAAGAATGAAACAAAGAGAAGTGTGATCAAAGATATCCATTACCGGATACGAAAGGTGGACAAGATTAATGACTCTGGAGACAGTTATCCCACATTCTTTATACCGATGGTAAGTAGCTTCATCCTAGCCCTCAAAGAACTCCCAGAAGTTTGTCGGACTCGCTTCCCGCCAGCCATAGCAAGAAACCAGAAAGAAATTATAAGAGAAGAAGAAGGTTGAGGTGAAAACAATGGCTGGAATGGCCTGAATTTAAAGAAACGGCCATATCATCCAGGATGATCGCAGAATCGTTCAGGACGATTTGGTTCAATTATTGCGTACAGGCCGATTGGTCAAAAAGGTGGTCCGATTGGCCGGGCCGATCAGATATCGTCCAGGATGATTAGACACAGGCGATGGTCCCGAGGAGTCAAGCCGGACGACCGTTGAAAAAGTAGATCGTCCGGGCCAATTAGGTGTATCATCCAGGACGATGCATAATAATTGATCGTACCGTCCGAAGTTAAAATGTTTTAAATCTGTGCCACGTGTATCGTCCAGAACAAACAGTGGATCGACCAGGACGATTGTCCAAAAATGGATTGTCCGGGGCCGATTTTAAGGATTTAAACGTACTGGCACGTGGATCGTCCAGGACAATCTAGTGTATCAGCCAAGACGATGACCATAAATGCATCGGCCAGGACGAAAATGGTATCGGCCAAGACAGAAAGCTCAGAAATGATTCACCAGATAAAATTTTGAAGAGAAATTGTCATATCATCAAAGACGATAAAAGAATCGGCCAGGATGATGTGACAAGAATTTGAAAATCAAGGAAAGATGGAGATGATCAGAGAAAACCCCAAACGAAAATGAATATAAACTAAAAACAACAAAAACAGATAAAAACAAAAAAGAAACGAAGTTTTAGTTTTTTTCTTTTTTTTTTTTTAGCAAAGCATGCATATGAAAAATTCCCCAAAGAATTAAATTTTAAAGATTTGAAAGATCAATGAGTTAACAATGTCACAATCTGAAAACGGTAGAAAATCCAATCCTTTTTATCCTAGCTCGGACTTCTTTCAGGATAAAACTTGTCTTTTGAAAATAAGAGGTCTAACTTAGAATAAATTGGATAAAAAGAATAACTGTTCAAAACTTGGTTACAAACAAAATATCTTATAAAATAGTATACCAAAGTAATTTGTCTCTATCATGGAATTTGAAATCAAGCCTTTGAAAATATCAAATAACCCATGAGTCCTTCTTAGTTTTAAAAGTTTTGAAAAGAGAGGTTAGCTTGCATTTAGTGGGCTCATTTTATGCCTCTAGTCACTTTGATTGGCTTTTTGAGCATCTTTTGATTTTTGATACACTTTTTTGTATATAGTTTTCTTTTCAATTTGGCGTCATTGGCCTCTTCCCTTTTTAATTTTTGCAAGCTAAAAACTCTTTAACAAACCCTTTAAAAAAAGTTCTTAGTTGTGATTATATCTTCTAGATATTAGAGAAGAGGGGCTCTCTTTCTAACATAGAGAAGAACAAGCAACAAAATAAAAATCAAAATTATATGATAAGTGCAACGACAAGATTTCAATTATCTTGAAGGATATATAAGAACTTTGGATCATATATATAAGATAGATTATTGTAACAAGAAGAAAAA